CATCAAAATCTCTCAATAGTGGAACCACAAAACAGCAAAAGAACACCATTCCGAACACAGCACAAAGATTTCATGAACATGCAGCGTAATGAATTTTCAAACTCTTCTTCTGTGACAAGTTTCAGAGAGGTAGCCGTGTTAGTCTGTATCGCAAAAACGAGGAGTTCTTGTGGGACCTTAGAAACTAACAAATTTATTTGGGCATAAGCTTTTGTGGGCTAAAACCCACTTCATCAGAGACATGGAGTGGAAAATACAGGAGCAGGTATAAATACATGAAAAGATGGGAGTTGCCTTAGTTGAGGTCAGTCTAATGAGACAATTCAATTAACAGTAGGATACCAAGGGTGGAAAAATAACTTTTGTAGTGGTAATGAGTAGCCCGTTGACAAGAAGGTGTGAGTAACAGTAGGGGGAAATTACTTGGGAGACAGGCCAGTCCTCGCTTACAGACAGCCCCCCAACCTGAAGCAAATACTCACCAACAACTGCACACCACACAACAAAAACACTAACCCAGGAACCAAACCCCGGTGCCAACTCTGTCCACATATCTATTCAACGGACACCATCATAGCACCTAACCACATCAGCAACACCATCAGGGGCTCGTTGACCTGCACATCTACCAATGTGATATGTGCCAGCAATGCCCCTCTGCCATGTACATTGGCCAAACCGGACACACTCTACGCAAAAGAATAAATGGACACAAATCTGACATCAGGAATTATAACATTCAAAAACCAGTAGGAGAACACTTTAATCTCCCTGGTCACTCAATAACAGACCTCAAAGTGGCAATTCTTCAACAAAAAAAGCCTTCAAAAACAGACTCCAACCGGAAACTGCAGAACTGGAATTAATTTGCAAACTGGACACCATCAAATTAGGCCTGAATAAAGACTGGGAGTGGTTGGGTCATTACAAAACCTAAACCTAATTTCCCCCTACTGTTACTCACACCTTCTTGTCAACTGTTTGAAATGGACCACTCTCATTACCACTACAAAAATTATTTTTCCTCTCTTGGTATCCTACTGTTAATTGAATTGTCTCCTTAGACTGACCTCACACTTGGTAAGGCAACTCCCATCTTTTCATGTATTTAGACCTGCTCCTGTATTTTCCACTCCATGCCTCTGATGAAGTGGGTTTTAGCCCACAAAAGCTTATGCCCAAATAAATTTGTTAGTCTTGAAGGTGCCACAAGGACTCCTTGTTGTTTCTTCTGTGACAACTCGTTTAAGTAAGTTTGACACTGAAGTTAAGTGCTAGAGTTTGGGTTAAGGATCTGCTCAAACTGGAAGTGGAGTACTTTGAATCCCCACATTGTTTCTTAACTGTACTGACAAATAAAAATGAATTCTTATCCCAGACCTCAGTGCTTAGCACAACTGGCAATGACGGTTACTGCTTAGTTTAGTTTTGTTCTGCACTAATGGTAGAATCCCATCAGCGAAAGGTGTGAATTCTTCCCCCCACTCCTCCCAAATAATTTTTCTTGTTTGCAAAAAAATTAAACATGGCTGTCCCAGATAACTGTGTGCACCAGAATCAAGTGTTAGAATGTTCTCTGTTGCTGGGGGAGCACAAGCCAAGTCAAAATTGTTTGGAAAATAAAGGGGAATACGAATCAGAACTGTCCAGTTACAGACCTGAGTAACTTAGATGTGCCTCATGATTCTGGCTGTACTCAAGTGGCACTTTTTAATCATTACCTCTTCTCCGAGATGATCCAGGCCGTAATTATACAGTTCACACACATAATGCCTTCTAATCACATCCTCACTGAGCTGAAGGTGCTGTGCCAAATCCAGAGCCAAAGTTGGCCAGTCCTTGTCTTTTTCAGCAGGAAGTGGTGCCTCTTCTGGGAGCCCTCTGGCCTTTTGTGCGGAGCACTGGCCTTGTACCATTGCACTCACAGCTTTCATTAAGAACTTGGAAGCAAACACCAAAATGAGTTAGCAGCAGTTTAATTTTACCTGAAACTCCTTTAAAGGTCTATATTTCCTTGTGGCAGTGTAAAGGATTTAAACTCACTTGTTGGCGTATGGATAACACGTTTGGATCCATATCCCCACTGGGCAGCAACTGAATTGAAGTCAGGTCTTTGAAAAATGCATTTTTGCCCTAAATTGAGAACAGGAAAAACCCATATTCAGAGAAAAATAGATCCATTTTGATCAAGCACTTGAAGAGACAATACTTTTTCCCCATTTAAATGCTATTGCATCTTAGTTTCCAATCCCGAAGAGAAATGCAGTATTTTAAATTACTGAAAGGCTATGAAACAAAAGAAACATTTGTTTAAGCAATCATATGTTTCACTAATATTTCTAGTTTTTTTTTAATTACTTCACCTGGCATTCAAGCTTAAAAATTAGGCTACAAATTTCAATAGTAGGGGGTTCTCAATCTGCTATAGTTATCTAACCAAATGGAGCAATCATTACATAAGGAAATAAATCATCTTTTTTTTTAAGCCACTAGCATTGGTTTCAGACCCTGAGGGTTATCATTCTAGATTGACATGCCAACTATGACATTTAGTGTGAAATACATCCAACCACGGGGTCTTTTAAGAAAGTAAAGTATTTGAGGGTTTTTTTGTTTTAAGTTTCAAGGCTCACTGAATGGCCCCTTGAATTGTGCACACAGTAAAAAAAGAGGTGACAGTAACCATTGTCCTGCTGTCATGCTGGATTTGACAAGAAAAGGCAGAGTCTTGTCAAAGGAAGTAAATGCATCTATGTACATGGAATAATATTCATTTGAAGATGGCCTTGCTTCATCACATGGAATTGACTGAGTTGTCCTGCTCCATGTTAGACATGGAAGCTGGTGCAAAAAGGCAGGTGTCAAACACTAAAATACTGGCAGTTAAGGTGTGCACCTCAATAACAAGACCCCTCAAAACAACTCCGTGCACCAACAAGAAGAAATACATAAAGGAATTGCAGGGTAGCCATGTAATCCAATCCTACTTAATTCCAAGTACTGCAATTTAGTTCTAGATAAAGACTTGCCTTGTTAGAAATCAGATGATGAAGTGGCCTTTGAAACATTTACATACTATTAAGTCCACGTCAATCAGCCGAGCTTCCCTAGAGATCTTTCACAAAGAAGTTCTCCCATGCAGCTTGCAGAACATGGGGGAATTTTGAGTGACTGAGGCAAAGATTAAAAGTAAGGCAAGGGAGGATGACAACCATATACAAAAGGCAAGGAAGCACAATTTTTTATTCCTCTTTCTGGGAAAGTGGTTTTATTTGCAGAGTTAGGGATGTTTTTGGTGGAGGGAAAAGGATGCTTTATGCAACACACCCAAAAAACAGGTCACATCTTTCACTGGCAAACAATGGTACTTAAGCATTCATGCAAGTGCTCTGCTAAATAGGTACAGAGTGCTGAATGGGGACTATGTTTAGACAAGAATCAATAGCAAAATACAAAAAAAAAAATAGTACTTTGTATTTATAAAAATATCTCAATACATCTTTAAGGAGACATCTGTAGTATGACAGTTCTTCATAGAACCAAATTTTTTTTCAAGTAGGATTAGTTTACAATAGTCTACATCAGCACTTTATTTCTAAAATTCACTCAGTGTGTGCACCTCAGCTGCGAGGAAAGCAGCTCAATACGTAACATTTTCTTTACATCTGTTTTAGGACTCAGGAGCAACAACAGATTCCATTTTAAATATAGCAACTATTTATTTTAATCAGTCTGTTCTTGCTCTCACGGCTACTAGCTATTTGTTCTTTCCGAGAAAGAAGTGTGGCATAAAGCATCAGGAATAACTGATACAGAGAGTGACAGATTACGATAATGAAATAGAAGATTTATTATTTGTAATTTCTCTGTTCTTACAGTTCTCAAACTAACAAACGTGTGACCTAATCAGACTGCATCCTGTGTTCTCACCATGCAATAACAGTCATTAGATGGACTAAAATAAGGAGCGGATTTTGACACCTCTAAACCACTCTCAGGACATCCTATTCAGAAGAAAAGTTACCATGTTTGTGGACTGCTGTTCCGGTGACAATCCTTAGCTGAACAGAGTGCACCAATTATCTTTGGCATGACATCAATCTACATACTGTGTTTAAAGAACTAGTTATAAATAACTGATAAAACATGCATGCTTGTTAACTAGCAGCAGCAAGGACAGCATTATATTATAAAACATGTACTCATAACACCTTTAAAAGACATACCTTACTGTCAAATAGTGAGAGAGGTTTCACACTCTTCAGAGAAAACCTCATGATTCCGTATAATATAGTGCACAATACCGACTGGTGTTCGACAAGTGGGTAGTGGATGTGTTTCTGCTCCAGGGCTAGCTCTACTATTGAGATTGGTCCTTCAGCTGACACCCAGGCATCTTCTATGTCCAATACTGGAGCTTGCATTTCATCACTACTAACATCAGCCTAGTACAGCAATGCAGAGCAATCAGCATTCAAAAAAATGATTACTTTAAGATACTGTTCAGAAAGAATATGAGAATCTCTAGTAAAAATAAACAGGAGTTATATTACAAGCCACAATTTCTCCTGCCAAAGTATTTTAAAAAAATAATAGAAATGTTCCATGTTCACTAGAAAATAATTCAGACTTTGGTTAAATGAAGTCATTAAAGTAATTGTAGCTATATTATTCATGTTGCCTTCAATTTTCATGGCGAAAACTTACTACTAAAACCATGCATGTTCTTATGTATTTTCTAATCAAAAAAATATTTTTTACCTCCATTAAGGTTTGAAGAAGATCTGAACATGAGCCAAGAAAAGATGTCATTGCAGTATCACCCATACCTACATCCTATTAAATAAAGATAGAGTAAATTTCTGCAACGTGATTTCGCTTGGATGCATTTTAAAACATTTTAGTTGAAACAGACAGAAAGAAGGGTCTTTATCAGCACTGTTTACATTTCTGGGAGGGCAGGCTTTGCTAGAGAACATACAAAAAGCACTAGTGCTAATTTCAGTTCCTTTATCTCATTATGTTAAGGCCAAATAGTTGCAACAAAAGATTTGGATAGAACAGACAAAAGTAGAATTTGAGAATTTCAATAAAGCTTTGCAACATCTGGAAAAAGTCTTGACTATGAAAGTTGCTTATTCTATCCACTTAATACATTGTTCTATTAAGTAATTATATTCCGCGAAGAATTTTATCAGAAACAAACAAACAACGCACTATCCCCGGAACATAGTTTCAATTAACTCTTCCAGGAGTTGATAAAATTATGTGGACAAAATGTTAGTCAGGTAAGCTTCAGTCTCAAGTTCACTTTCTGTACCATTTTTACTAGATTTGTCTACACCTTTCAACTTTGAGTTGTCAAACTGGAAATTTAAGACTGGCTAAAATTCATCAATATTTTTTATTTTAATCTTTCCCACCCAGATCTCCTTATGCGTTGTCACATTAAAAACATGAAAAACAGATGTAATGACCATTGAAACAAAATGTAATCAAATATTTCTAAATTCCTTGTCATCTTTAGATAAATAAAGCATTACTTGCCCTTCTGCATAATCTGTCCTTCGGAGCTTTTCCAACCTATTATAGAACAAATTTTCAGCATAAGTCTGACACATGAGCAATCTATTTGTTAAAGTATTAACTTGGTATTAGTAACTTATTTTCCTTATACAACAGAAAAAAATTTCTACAAAGATAGATAGCCAGTATATTGGTATCTTAATTAAAAGAACTGGGACTGGATACAGGCTATAGTACGAAAAGAGCTGAGAAGCAGTTTCTATGTTGAATATTTTCAATGGGCAAAGCTTTTGGCAAAAACATTCCTTACAGCCTGAAGTTTTCCACACTGTCTCTCATCTGTGTGATTTATTTATCTGCCATCTGAAAAATCAGACTGTACGTGCAACAGTCATTTTCAAGATGTTTAAACATTCTACAAAGTCTTCCTTATGAAATAAAAAATAGTTGCAGAATGATTTTAACATTCCTAATCTAAGAAGCCCGTTATTTATGTTCATATGAATAGCACGTATATGTACTTTTCTATAGAGCTTAGAAACATTTACCCATGGTGAACACTATTCAAAAATCTTGTGGCATGATAACAACCCTTCCTAACTTTCCATCTTTGCCAGTGTTATTTATTTGGGTTGGCTTCACTACTAATGTAGTAATTTTATAACTAGTATTTCAAAACATTAAATGTTGATTGAATTATGTAAGTCAGTGACTTTGAAGACTGGAAGCTGATGAGATACAAGGTTAAAAGAAGACAAGACCATCTCTCCCAGCTAAAGGCTTGACTCTCGGAATAACATGTTAAATAGGCTACCTTCCGCTAGGAGAAAATCTGTGTTATTGCAAGATAGAGCTACCCTCTTGGGATCCAATTCAAGTTTCAACTGTTTGAACTGATTTTTCACAAGATGCATCTTTAAATGAGGGTAATCTTCATTTGACTTTTTACTTAATATTCACCAAGTTATCACGTACAAGAATGCTAAATATAGGTAAGGAAATTCTTAGAGCAATCCTTCATAAATCTCTGAAGCGCTGCAACTACTTCACTGGTTTTTGAATCATTTAAATATTGAGGCAGAGAAAAAATAAAACTCTTAGCAGCTAATGACAAACTCTGGCTCTCAATCTCTTCAATTTGCACTGAAATTGTGTTTCAAGGTTGACAATCAGTTTCCTGTTACATGTGGAGCATGTTCAGTTATGGAAAAAATGTGAAACGTTAAGTTGAAATTTCTCTGTTCTTCATCATTTCTAGCTGGTTCAATCACACTGGTCCTGATTCTGACCTAGTTTATATCAGGGAGAGCGAAGGAAAAATTCCACTGAAACAAATGGAGTTATGTTGGTGTAAAACTGATGTGAGAGAACTAAAAGGCACATAAAACCTGAACCAAAGCCTACTGACAGCAACTCAGGGTATGTCTACACTACCCGCTGAATCGGCGGGCAGCGATCGAGCCAGTGGGGATCGATTTATCGTGTCTAGTCTAGACACGATTAATCGATCCTTGAGCCCTCTTCCGTCCACTCCTGTACTCCAGCGCCGCAAGAGGCGCAAGCAGAGTCGATGGGGGAGCGGCAGCAGTCGACTCACCACGGTGAAGACACCACGATAAGTCGATCTAAGTACGTCGACGTCAGCTACGTTATTCACATAGCTGAAGTTGCATAACTTAGATCGATCCCCTGCCCACAGTGTAGACCAGGGCTCAGAGACTCCCAAAGACCTCAGTAGTGCAGGATTGGGGCAACAGTATCAAGAATGAAATCAGAATGAAGATGAAATACATGACAAATATGAAAAAGAAACAAGGAAAAATGGACACTGCAGAATAGCAATTGAGATAGGGAAGCCGCAATAAGAAAATTATACAGTGTAAATCATCACACACTTTCCTGTCTGTCTGCATTCCGAGCAAGAGTCAGATCTCTATTGCCTGTTTGGGAAAGTTACGATAGTGCTGCTAAGCTCCAATTTCCACAGCTCAATGAACCTTTGGCAGATGATGAAAAACACATGTAGATGGAAGTTACTCTTCCCATGGTATAAAGATCTCACTGATCCAAACTCTGTTGTGATTAGGGTACCACAGCACAGTCTAATCAACAGCTGAAGGAAGATATATGGCCCCAGAATTCATATAGCAACTTGAATTAAGAGCATCCACCATGCTATATCCAAAGTCTGTAAGTTGGAGGACTTTTCATAGTCACTTTGGGAATTGAATAACTGCTAATATATCAAACACTATTCGGGGCAGTTTATATTTTGAGAGCTGTGGGAAGGCTGGATAAGTTATTACGGATATTTATCCTTTTGTTGGTATATTGTAATATGTATACAAGCTTCTAAGGAGTCCTGAACTGGAGCTTTCACACACATTTACATACATAAAGTAATGGTAGCTCACTTTTAACAGATATTGCACATGGAAATGTTCAAAGTGTTAGGTAAGAAAGTATGTTAAAAGACTGAATAAATAAGGCAGAAAATCTTTACCCGTACTTATTTAGATGTTAATGCACCAAGGTACTACAGAAGCAGGGGGCTGTAAAAATACAAGCAGTACCATCAGGGAAAGAACTTTTGCTTAAGAGATGGGACTAACTGAATTCTTCTGCAGCCATGAGTCTAGTTGCAGAAGGGTACATGGGAAATGAATAAATGATACAAAAAAAGATAAGCCACAGAAAGGAGAATAGGAAAAAATGAAAAGGAAAAAAGAAAGAAGAGGGGACAGAAATGAGGATATCCCAGCATCTCTAGCATCATCACAGCATATTACTTTGGTACTCTCCTCTTTTGCCCTAAAATCTGAATTACCAATATCTGGACTTCTCTGTACTAGCATGCGAGCAATCAATTAGCTCCCCTATACAACTTGCAAATTGATACACCGGAGGTAAATTCCTTCAGTTTAAATAGACCCATTATTTGATAGCACTTAAACACAATTTGGAATCACCCCCTTTCCTCCCTAAGTAAGCCAGTTAATTCAGTACTAAATGTCTGAAAGCTCATATCAACAGACATATTTAGGACAGACATAGCCTGGCAGAACTGATGGCAAACAGGTCCTATAATACAAGACTGATTCAGCAAACCAGGGGAGCTGAAAGTGTTCAGCACCATCCAGGATATGTTTTTGCATCTTTAATACCCCAAAGCCTAGAAGGAATATGGTACTCAAGCCAAAAAGCAACTTGTGTGATCTTAATAAAGGTTTCATGGTAAAAACCATCAAGTGCAGGTACAGAAATGCATAGAAAAAATGTACTTCTTGGGTTATCTATTAAGCTAATTTATTAGTTACCAGGTTGATAAAATGTATAGGATAGATAATACAGGAATGGAAAGCTCACATTCCTTAAAATAAAATCATTGGTAAAGCTTTTTAAGACTTACATTTTATTGCAAAGGAGAACTTTTTGGAATTCACCAATTCAGTATAGTTTTATTATAGTGTCAAGTGAGAAAAAATTAAGTGTACACTCATTATTGGCGTGTGAAAATATCTGCCAACTTCAGCTGCTTATTAAAACTTACAATAAGATCATTCCAATAGAACAAACAAATGTGATATTTTTTAAAAATAAGCATTTCCCAATATATGCTTTTCAAAAACAAGTATTACCCAATTAATATAATGAAACCACTCAAGCAGCATAGTTTACCTCTACAATCAAAGATGCGCCAAAAACAAAAAGCAACGTTTTAAATATTTGATAGCTTAATTTCTCTGTAAATAAAAAATGAATCAGTAAGAACTGAACTTAAAACTACCAGCCACAATAGCATGTTTACCTTGTCCATTAGGTACGTAGCAGCAGAGAGCCTTTTTACTATAAATGTATTCCACATCATTAGAGCAATACCTAAAAACAATTACAGAAATATAAACTTCATCTGAATGGAGCATTAACACAGATTTAACGTAAACTCAAACAATGAAAGTTATTGCAGAAGAAGAGAGAGAGAGGACTGTTTTAAAAATTAATGGTACAATAGAACAGAGATGAAACAGTACTTTGAGACATAGATTAATCTGTCTCCAACAAAAGGATAAGTCAGACTTCACTATATAGTCACACAGTGGTCTCATGGGATTTGCATTCCCTTAAGATCGCATCTGGCGCCAAAGCACAAATAGTTCAAAACCCAGAACTACATGGGCCCAGTGTTCCTTTAGTAGTGGGGAATCAGGAGAGAAGGAGATTGTAGAGGGAGGCAGATGTCAAATCAGCTGAATTATAAAACAACAAGGACAAAATCCCAGTTTCAATTTCAGAAGAACAGGACTGCTTTGGTGCCCAGAAAGATTCATTACATCTATGGCTAATCCATTAAGAATATCATATTGTGTACCGTGATTAAAGGAACTGTTAGACATGCAGCGAGCCTGGGGCTGAACACAGAGTATAATAGGTTATCACTAGTGCTTCAGTCATATACTGTATTGTGCTTGAAAGCAGTGAAGTGGCCTAGAACAGGACTATTGTCTATGATGCACAGTGTAAACAGGCAATATTGAAGGACAGCCCCTGAGTGATGAATGGAGTTGGAATAGGACTAACCCCCATAACGATTAAAAAAGTTAGCCCAGTTTTACAGAAATGTGTTTGACTATGCTTCAAACTAAACTAGTTTTCAACAATTTAGCAAAAGCATGTGTGGATGTGACCAAATCGTGTTCTAACAAGGAAGGACTTGTGGGTTTTTTGTTTTTTTAAAAAACATGGTTTAGCCCTATCTACACACCTCAATCTTTGTGGAAGAAAAGGAGTGCAACTAGTTCAAAGGGGAAAACTGGGGGAGCTTGACTGTCAGCATCAGAGTCCCCGATTCAGGCAGAGGTGCTTGGCCAGCACAACAAACTGTACAGATTTAAATCAATCTCTATGCACACTAATTTATTTTGCTCTCCTGAAATTTTATCAAGGATGTTCTTTAACAATAGTTTTGTACTTACCATGCTGTATGTGGGCATTAACAATGCATCTGAGGTGATCTATAGATCTAATGAGAAAACGTGCTTCCTTATATAAAGGGGGAAGAAGAATAAAAAAACCAAACCTATTATTCAATTATTCAATGGCAGTTTCAAAAACAAATTGTGAATTCTTAAAAAGATGTTAATGCAGATGATTTTCAAGGAACTCATTTTCCAGGTAAAGACTATTTTAGGATTTCTTTTATTACAAGACTTGTTATATTAATTTCATCTCTTACCGTCAAGCAAATGCACATACATATCAATGCCACCTAAGCGAGTCATCACTGAACACTGCGATTCTAATGTAATTTTCCAGAGTTTGTTTTAGTTTATATGCTGACGACATTTCTTGCAGAAAAATACCTCTCTTGACTGCTGATGGTTTATCTTGCAAATACAATTTTATTTTTGTTTTAAAAAATTAAACCATTGTTTACCAAAAATAAGTCTGTTTTAGAGTCCATCTTTAAAAAAATCCAGAATAAGATGAACCTTCACTATGCAGCGAGGTGCCCGATAGCACAGATTTACTGCGTCTGGGAGATGCTGACCTCAGTTACAAACTCGATGTTCAGCATCCTCCCAGCATCAGAACTTAAGGGAGCAGTTACAAGTAGGGCTGTCAAATGATTAAAAAAATTAACCGCGATTAATCCTACTGTTAAATGGTATTCTATTATTAAATATTTGTGGATGTTTTCCACATTTTCAAATATATTGCTTTCAATTACAACACAGAATACAAAGTGTACAGTGATCACTTCGTATTTATTTTTGATTACAAATATTTGCATTGTAAAAAATAGTATTTTTCAATTTATTTAATACAAGTACTGTAGTGCAATCTCTTTATCATGAAAGTTGAACTTACAAATATAGAATTATATACAAAAATAACTGCATTCAAAAATGAAATAATGTAAAACTTTAGAGCCTACAAGTCCACTCAGCGAAAGATAGTGCAGTAAAGTAACCCTAACCAGATCAGCGTTGTGTATTTGTGAGCTATGCAATATTTCAAATCAGAAATATGAAAGCTAATTAACACCAATATTTTTAAAAAGGGCTCTAGAGGTGATCCCGACAATTATAGACGGGTAAGTCTAACGTCAGTACTGGGCAAATTAGTTGAAACAATAGTAAAGAATAAAATTGTCAGACACATAGAAGAACATAAATTGTTGGGCAAAAGTCAACATGGTTTCTGTAAGGGGAAATCATGTCTTACTAATCCATTAGAGTTCTTTGAAGGGGTCAGAAAACATGTGGACAAAAGGGCGATCCAGTGGATATAGTGTACTTAGATTTCCAGAAAGCCTTTGACAAGGTCCCTCACCAAAGGCTCTTACATAAATTAAGTTGTCATGGGATAAGAGGGAAGATCCTTTCATGGATTGAGAACTGGTTAAAAGACAGGGAACAAAGGAATAAATGGTAAATTTGCAGAATGGAGAGGGGTAACTAGTGGTGTTCCCCAGGAGTCAGTCCTAGGACCAATCTTATTCAACTTATTCATAAATGATCTGGAGAATGGGGTAAACAGTGAAGTGGCAAAGTTTGCAGACGATACTAAACCACTCAAGATAGTTAAGACCAAAGCAGACTGTGAAGAACTTCAAAAAGATCTCACAAAATTAAGTAATTGGACCAAAAAAAAAGGCAAATGAAATTTAATGTGGATAAATGTAAAGTAATGCACGTTGGAAAAAAATAACCTCAACTATACATACAATATGACAGGGGCTAATTTAGCTACAACTAATCAGGAAAGATCTTGGAGTCATCGTGGATAGTTCTCTGAAGATGTCCAAGCAGTGTGCAGCAGCAGTCAAAAAAGCAAACAAGATGTTAGGAATCATTAAAAAAGGGATAGAGAATACGGAGAATATTTTATTGCTCTTATACAAATCCATAGTATGCCCACATCTTGAATACTGCATACAGATGTGGTCTCCTCATCTCAGAAAAGATATACTGGCATTAGAAAAGGTTCAGAGAAGGGTAACTAAAATTATTAGGGGTTTGGAACGGGTCCCATATGAGGAGAGATTAAAGAGGCTAGGACTTTTCAGCTTGAAAAAGAGGAGACGAAGTGGGGATATGATAGAGGTATATAAAATCATGAGTGGTGTGGAGAAAGTGAATAAGGAAAAGTTATTTACTTGTTCCCATAATATAAGAACTAGGGGCCACCAAATGAAATTAATGGGCAGCAGGTTTAAAACAAATAAAAGGAATTTCTTCTTCACACAGCGCACAGTCAACGTGTGGAACTCCTTGCCTGAGGAGGTTGTAAAGGCTAAGACTATAACAGGGTTTAAAAGAGAACTGGATAAATTCATGGAGGTTAAGTTCATTAATGGCTATTAACTAGGATAGGTAAGGAATAGTATCCCTAGCCTCTGTTTGTCAGAGGGTGGAGATGGATGGCAGGAGAGAGATCACTTGATCATTGCCTGGTAGGTTCACTCCCTCTGGGGGACCTGGCATTGGCCACTGTCGGCAGGATGCTGGGCTGTATGGACCCTTGGTCTAATCCAGTATAGCCTTTCTTATGTTCTTATGAAGAACTTCCCCCTTTTCCCATTAAGACTAACATTGTCTTTCTGTCTGGCATGAACAAGCCTTCCTGTCTTGGTGGATGGTATCCTATACTCCTAGCATCTAAGACAGAGGTGGGCAAACTACAGCCAGCAGGCCAGACTCTCCTGCCTAGCCCCTGAGCTCCTGGCCCGGGAAGCTAGCCCCTGGCCCCTCCCCTGCTGTTCCCCCTTCCCCGCAGCCTCAGCTCGCCCCGCCGCAATGCTCTGGGCGGCGGGGCTGCAAGCTCCTGGGGCAGTGCTGCTGCAGAGCCCAGCCTGACCTGGTGCTCTGTGCTGCGTGGCTGTAGCGCCGCCAGCCACCGGTGCTCCAGGCAGCGCAGTAAGAAGGCAGGGAGCAGGGTGGGTGGGAGGGTTGGATAGAGGGCAGGGGAATTCGGGGGGGTGGTCAGGGGGCAGGGGTGTGGATGGGATCAGGGCGGTCAGAGGGCGGGGAACAGGGAGGTTGAATGGGGGTGGGAGTCCGGGGGGGCAGTGAGGAAGGAGGGGGGGTTGGATGGGGTGGTGGGGGGCAGTCAGGGGACAGGGAAAAGGGGTGGTTGGATGGGGCAGGGGTTCAGGGGGGCAGT